ATCATTGATTTCCTTTAATCTAGTTTACTGGGAACAATATTGTATACATGTACATACCAACCATTGCCACCGTTAGTACTTGAATAACGTTGGAATTTAACTACAAAAACTATAACTGAAATTATAAATTAAGATAATGGAGTTGCTGTACTACTCTGTACAGTAACTCATTATATCATACAGAAATGCATCTCGTTGCAGAATTCCAAACGATAATTTTGTAACATATAAGATGTGGTTCAATTTATGATTTAGAATCCTTCTTCAGGGAAAATTTCATAGGGAAATCACTAATTGGTAACCACTCTTCATACAAAGAATCAAAAAAATAACAATAAAGCTATCAATCAATAACCATATGTAATGACATTTAGAAATAATGAGTCAGTCATTGTCAGAGTTAGAAACGATAAGTGATCGGTAAATTAAAAACAATAAGTAAATGATCAAAATTGATAATCAAATTCTTATTAACGTTTCAATATTCGCAATATATTATTTTCTTTTGTGACTTTAATTCGACCAATAAATAGTGCATATAAAGAAATCAAAATCAAGATTAAAAAAGTTAATCAAGAAATGAGTCAAATCTCGATTTTTCCAAATCTTAAGTTTCAACGAATCTGAAGAATTTATTTTGTTACTCGAGAAATATAACAAAATGTAAGTGATTTACATGTACAACACACAGATTCGATATCTTTTTTTTTGTTATCATGTTCCTTTTTTTGTTATCATTTTGTTCCTTTTCATTGAATCCTATGAAACACGGAGCAAGTCTGTTTGGACCGACTTTTACGTGGATTTAGATAAGAACGAGTACGAGTACTTTCTCGAAGAAGCGAAGAACAGGGAGAGACGAGGTTCCTTATCGTATGACGAACGAGTTGCCTTCTTCTCGATTTGAAATATCAGTGAAAATTAGAGGTTTCATTGGTAATAGATGACAATGCGCTAAACAATGCATTTGGCGCTATCTTTAGATTTATAGAACTCCAAGATAAAGTGCATCCGTTACATTCCTGAGTTGCGTTAAATCTCTGAAAACGCGTTTTGTCGAGAAACTATGCGATATGCAATATTTCTTATGTTAAATAATTTATAAAACCGTATGAAAAATATCAAAAATTTCAGTTAAAGATCATTTATTAAGAATCGGATAACAAAGAAAACTTTATTGTAAATCTTGCTTATTTTTAAAACATCTCTTCAAGACACTTTATATATCAGTTTTAGAACATGGTGCTATGTTATATCATCTATAAGCTTACAAATGATGTTCATATTATGCGTAGGATATTCAAGAATAATCTTGAAATAGAATTAAATTTTAAGTACGTAAAACTTTTTTAGTAATCTGTGCATATTTATTTTCAATTATTTTGTCAAATAAAATTTTCATATTATTTTCAATAAATTTATAAGTTACAAAAGACTTCGGTGTGTAAAATATAATAATTAAAATTAATTAACAATAATGTAATAAATAATAATATAATTATATATTTTGAAGCAAAAGATAATTTTAAGCAGAGATTACGCACGCGCGCCGCGCGCGTTTATTATCCGAGAGAAATAAATTGAAATTTGGTTCGTAGACTTGTCTCTCGAAGGATGCAACACAGAACGTTGAATCGCATGATTAATATTCTGTGTTCTGCTGCGATAACGTGCGCGCGCGTACGCCATTTGTTGTTCCGCGATATTAGAAAGGTCACGACCTGAGGGTAGGAGGAGCGAATCCCGACATTTATCCGGATATAGAAAAGCCGTGACACTTTGTGCGAAATCATCAATTATATTAATCCTCACACATATCGAGCTTCTGGAATCTTGAAAATCACGGTATACGATCCTGATTGATAAGAGTAATTTCGAATCCTCATACCAGTATCTTTGCGTTGACAAGGTCGCGCGTAATAGTATGATAAATAAAATATAAAGTTGCATGCACGATACGTATAAATATTTGATGTATGAGTAATATCTTTTTTAAAAAATCATGATGCAATATGTAATATTAAAACAAATATATGTAATAAAACACACACATGTATATTTTACAATATTATGTATAAATCTCTAAATATATATAAACTTAAAAGTTTATATATACTTACATATTGCATCATGATTTTTTTGAAAGATATATTACTCCTAATAATTTTTTTATATTCATATATGTACATATTAAAAAATGTACATGTTTTATTATACATAATTGATTATGCATAAATCATATATTTTATATATACATATAATAAGATATATTACAACTTTTTTTTATACGCAATAATATTTGCCAAGAACTAAAATGCTCAAATTTGAATAATTATATCTTTTGTAAGAAAAGTTCGCTATAAGATTTCACAAAGAGATTAATACATTGCAATACTGCAATGCATCCGAGCAGAAATCCGATTGTTTTCCACGTAGGTGTACAAAATCGCTGGTATTGAGCACGATTGCTTTTCGCCATAACTTCTTGGAGATAGAGAGTAAGAAATTGGCAGAAATGTCCTAGCAGCTCACCTTGTGGGCATGCCTCGTCATAAATACGCAACGATCATTTTTCGCGTGAAATGCTCCCATTTGTGGCCTCGTTTACGAATATTATTTTGTAAAAGATAACCAAATATAAATTTTTTTATGAATAATTTTATAATGTTATAATTATTCGTTGTTTACAAAAATTAATTTATTACAAATATAAATTTATTTTAATTCATATATTGTAATATTTTATAGGACGTACTTGCAAGTACATATACGTCTACTAGTATAAATATTAAATAATTAAAATTTTCCCTATAAAATTTTTGAAATATGTATATATAGGCACACGCACATAAATGTATATTT